GTTTCTGGGTTTTGCCTGCTTGATTGCTTGTTTGGGAATCTCACTGGGCTTTTAGCTCATTCCATTAGTTTGTTTTTCTTACAGGAGTGGAGGCTGGAGTAAGTAAGCGTGAACTAGTGTGTATAAGTTTCTTGTACTTGTACTTTTATGGATTGAATGTATTTGAGATATTTGACAATGTAAAGCTACGTTTCACTTTTGGCTTGTAAATGAAGTTGAATTATGGTTGATTTGAGAACCTTACCATTTTGAAGAATGCTAGTGAGTGACTCTCATCGAGAGTTGGGCAAGCGGTCCGCCAAACCCTTGGGTTCGCCCTAGAAAGAGGTGGGGTCGTCACAGATTTTTCCCTTGAATTACAAGAAACTATTTTTGAATTAGATTCTCTTAAACCTATAATATATGATGTGTCCTATGTTGAATTGCCTATGTCTCATTCAAAGCTTTTACCATCTACTGTGCAAGTCTCAAAGTTGGAATTGAAGCAATTACCAAGTCATCTGATGTACATATTTCTTGGAGAAGGAGACACACTTCCAGTGATTATTTCTTGCAAGCTGACTACTTTAGAAGAGGAAAAGCTAATTCGGGTGCTGAAGGATCAGAAAGAGGCAATAGGATGGACTTTAGCTGACATCAAAGGACTAAACCCAGCCACATGCATACACATAATCTTATTGGAAGAAGGTGCTAAACCTTCAAGAGAGGCTCAACATAGACTAAACCCACCAATGTAGAGGTAGTAAAGAAAGAAGTTCTAAAACTTCATAATGCAGGTATAATTTATCCAATTTCAGATAGTAAGTGGGTAAGTTCTATACAAGTAGTTCCTAAAAAGACAGAAATAACGGTTATTGAAAATCCAAATGGTGAGTTGATGCCCACCCGCATTCAAAATGGGTGGTAAGTTTGAACAAATTTTAGAAAATAAAATGCATTAACTTGAAAGGACCATTTTCCATACCCTTTATTGATTAAATGCTAGAAAGGTTGGCAAGAAAATCTCTGATGCGGTTGAGCACGAGGCCCATGGTGCTCAAGTAGACTCTGTTAAGGTGCCCCAAGGCCTAGTGACACGAGCACGAGTTAAGAGATTTAAGGAGTCGTTTCAAGCCATGGTTCATGCCATCCAAGCCCAAGAGAAACCGCCCATTGAAGGGATTGGGCTAGAAGATCCTTGCAAGACTACTAAAGTGTTTGCTTACAACTGAAGATGTAAGTGTTCAAGCTCCAAACGGCGGATTGGGCCGCAATTAAGGCGCTCATGTTGAGCCTAGTATCGGCCATGTGGGCCTTAGGTCTAATAGTACTTTAGTTAGTTAATTAGTTAGTCAATCAGGTCTTCGACCTCCGCTGAGCTGTTCAGGGGTCTTGCTGCCCGGTCAGCGAGTCGGGGGTCCAGGAGGCGACGCGCCCTCGCTGGGGGGGCTCAGGGGGCAGCGATGCCCCCGGTGGGGGTTCAGGGGCAACACCCCCAAAGTTTTGTTGGGCTGGCCGAAATTCACTTAATATTTTCCAAGCTTTATTAGGGTTAGTCAAGGCTATAAATAGCCCCAAGTCATTGTTACATTCAGTTTTTTGGTGAATTATAATAAAATTTCTTGAATTTTTGTCTTTCATTAAGGCAAAATTCCTTTACCTTGTGAAAACTAGTTTGAGCATTCTAGAGTTGATCCTAGGTTGTTTCTTGACTTATCAATCAAGCAAACACACTTGATTGTGGCGTCCTCTACCGTTGAATTCGTTCTTGAGTAGTCCAAGTTTGGGTTCAACTCCGTCAATTCCACAACGTGTCCTCTAAGATCCTACGTTTGCTTCTGCGCTCACACCATCTGGTATCAGAGCAAGGTTAGAGGTATCACGTATATCCCTTTTATTGTCTTCGAGTCTGTCTTTTATCTTCCATAGTCGTAGCTACGTATTAGGGTTTGTGTTGGGTCGTTGGTTTCTTGTCAAGTCCGAAACTGTTTTCTTTGTTTGACTTCGTTGTTGTGTTTGTTGTTTAGTTGCTGTCCGTATCTTCTCTATCTAGATTTGTCTTTGTGCATCGTGTTTTGGGTGTTGCTTGTCCGTGTCTTGTCCATCAAGGAAAACAAAAAAAAAAAAATTTTTTTGCGGCGTCTAGGGTTTCTTCCCTTCTTGTCACATCTTGTGTTGGATTGTCGTGTGTAGTAATCTATCCAGGGTTGTTTCTCCTTTATTTGCTGTTAGTTTGTCTTGATTGTGGTCTATTCTAGTGGGATATTGTGTCGTTGGGGTTGCACAACAACCCAGCAAAAAAAAGGGGTTCAAAGGTGCCGTATACCTTGTTGCTCCTTGTATCGCTGCTGGAATTTGTTATTGGGTGTTGGCCGAACCTGTTTGCTATTGAACCTTGGGTTTTCTGTGTTGTATCTTGCAAATCTTGGATACCAAAACATAATTTGGGAAGTTCTTGAGCTTCTTGATCAGAAATCTTGAAGTTCTTAGATCTACCAAATATGATTTGGTAGTTCTTGATTACAAAACCAAGGGTTTCTTGATACTTGAAAGAGCCTTTCATCTTGTTTTGCAAATCTTGAAGTTGGATCCGAATTCAAGGAGTCTTGGGATTGGAATTACATCTTGAAGGAATCTGATTGAGCCAAAAAAAAAAAAAACAAAGAAACAAGAGAAAGAAAGAAATGAAAAAAAAGGAAAGAAAGACCTTGGCTCTAGTTTTCTAATTGTGATCAAAGTCCTACCTTAAACTACAACTAATCCTAACTCACTTTGGATTAGCGGCTGCCTAGAAACCTTTTCGGCCAAAGCCAAATCACCCTTCAAATCCTTTAACCACCTTAACCGACCCAAAACAGCCCATCCACTACCCAATCCAGTTTCCAAAAGCCAAACACCAACCGCTACACCTTAACACGCCAAACCAGCCCGCACTTTGAATATGTTGAGCATCACTTTGTGATCCAATTGGGCTGCAATTTGAGGGTTGCCCTATACACCAAAACAGCACCAAAATACCACCGAAACCCTGACCAAAAGGCTGAGGACCAGCAAGCTCCGCAAATTCCAGAATTTTGGGTTGTCGGGTAGAGTACTTCTAGGGTTTTCAAAAATTCAGCCTTGAAGTCATTTGTCTTGCTTTCTTTTTTTTTTGAGTCATTAGTCCTAATTTGAGTTTTAGGTCGCATCTAGGTCCTCATTCACCTCCATTCATTGCTACTATCTTGTGTCACTTGTTGAATAGTCAAGGACGAATCTTGCGGTGACTCCTAGTTTGTTCAACCTGAGCAACTAGCAAGCCAAGGAATTGCTTGGTGAGATTATTAGAGAGTGATACATTTGAGTGAAACACGAGAGTGAGTGACCTATACATTGTATAAAAAAAAAGAGGAAGTCATTTTTGTTTAATTTTCTTTTGCAAGTGTACCTAAACATGTCTAGTGGAGTTGGTGACCAAACAATGGACATTAAACTACACTTGGAGGCCATGATGGGAAAGTTCAAGCGAATGCTTAAGAACTCCATTGAACCTTTGCATGACAGGATTGATCAGTTGGAGAACTCGAGACAACCACCTAGCTCGAGTAAGGGCAAAGAATTGGCATACTCCAATGACGAAGAGGACCCCTTTGAGGGGCGGTATCAATCTGACCAACGGGCTCCAAGGCGAGGAGATGACACCATTAAGGGTGTCAAACTCAAGATTCCCTCCCTCCAAAGCAAGTCGGACCCCGAGGCTTACTTGGAATGGGAACGGAAAATTGAGTTAGTCTATGAATGCCACACTTATACCGAGGAGCCAAAGGTAAAGCAAGCAGCCGTGGAGTTCATAGACTATGCCTCCATTTGGTGAGACCAACTTAAACTAAGCTGAAAGAGAAACCGCGAGAGGCCCGTGGAGACTTGGGAAGAAATGAGAAGCCTAATGAGGAAACGATTCGTCCCGAGCTATTATAGCCGAGACCTCCACCGTCGACTACAAGCTCTCACCCAAGGATCTATGTCCGTTGAGGATTATTATAAAGAGATAAAGATGGCCATTATGAAGGCGGACTTGCATGAGGATGGAGAAGCCACTATGACTCGATTTTTGCATGGTTTGAGGCCCGAGATTGCCGACTACTTCGACATGAATGAAATGTTGGAGAAGACGGTTACAGTTGAACGGCGCCTCAAGAGGAGGGGAAGTACACGGTCTAGCACCACGTACCAAGCTGGAAATTGGCGCACCCCTCAATCGAAAAGGGAGGAGAAGCCCACGGCTCCTTCTCAACCTCCAAGGCCGACTGCTTTTCCATCCAAAGCAATGGCCAAGCCTGAATTTAAGGCTAATAGTGGAGCTTCCAAACCGCGAGGCCGAGACACTAACTGCTTTAAGTGTCAAGGCTTTGGTCATATCGCATCTCAATGCGCCAACCAAAGGACTATGTTACTGTTGCCGAATGGGGAGGTTGTATCAGATGAGGAAAAGGAGTACATTGGGATGCCACCTCTAGAGGAGGACGAAAATGATTCGAGTGAAGAGATACCTACACATGAGATACCTACACAAGCGTTATAGAAACTCCAGCTCAAGCTCGTTTACGGGAGACAGCATATCAGCTTTTGTTACACTCATATTTAGCCTAAACAAAGAAGATACACATTCCCTGATATATCATCTTCAATTTGACAAGTCATGCCAAATAACAATACAAGGCAGGGTCTAATACTACAGCAAGCTCGAATATAAAAAGCTAGAACCTAATAATTATGGAGTTAAAAAGAAGTTAAAACTGCAGCAAAAACCATCAAATGGAGGAACAAAATATCCAAACTTGGATTACAATGTCCAAACCAGATCAGATTACAACATGTCCAAACCAAAATGTCCAAAGCAGATCAAATAACAACATGTCCAAACCAAAATGTCCAAACTAGATCAGATTACAACATGTCCAAACCAAAATGTCCAAACCAGATCAGATTACAACATGAAAAATTACATAAACAGCCACCAAGCAACATCAACAGCCACCAAATCAGGTTGTGAATGATTCAAGAAGTTCAACTTCCTCAAATGAGATTGATTCGGCCGCATCAAGTGATTCCTACAAAACAAAAGTATGAAAGTTATAAAATTCTTCAAAATCAGATATAAAGAAACTGTAACAACAACAAAAACATCCAATTAATAACTTACGCGAGACTTATTCTTTAGGCCATGAAAATTGCGGATCCAATCGTTGCCGCAAAGCAACATTTGCACCGTCTCAACTGACATAGAAGCTCGTCGATCAGCAATTACTCTACCTCCGGTGCTGAAGGTAGATTCTGAAGCCACAATTGTAACAGGAACGGAGAGTATATCGGCAACCATCCTCGACAAGATAGGAAATCTCAATCTTTCCCCTTTCCACCAACCCAAAACATCCAGATTTGCATTTGCATCACAAGCATACCTACTTTCCTCTAAATAAACATCTAAATCTGATTTTTTTGGTAGAGCCCTGTCAATTTCACTCACATGCATGTGAAACTTTTCTTTACCAGTTAAAACAGCAGGTCTAGTCATTTTCTGTTTCTTACTAGAACAACTAGAACCTTTATTTTGTCTCTTTTTTACAACCTGCCTCTGTTGTTGTTCAGAATGGGAAACAATGTGACAATCAACATGTTCATTGTAAAGCTCATAAAAAATGTCTCTAATCTTAGTTACGAATCTAGGAGCTGCATCCTCACCATAAATCACCGGAAAAGCATGATTAATAAGAAACATTTTGTATCTCGAATCCAAAATTGCACCCAAAGATAGTAGCACATTACTTTCCCCCCAATACTTATCAAATTTAGCAGACATACTTCCAACCATAGCCCGAATATGCTCAAAAGGGTTAAGAGCTTTTTCATTTAAAAGCTCTTTAATCCTATAGAGCTCCACAAGAAAAATGTTAGCGGTTGGATACTCGAACCCGGAAATCATATCAGTGATTTCATGAAATATTCCTAAAAATTTGCACACTTCTTCCACTTTCATCCACTCAAAAATCAGTAGGAACATAGTGAAATCCGGAGTCAATGTCTGCATATCTTGGAAAGACATCCTTGAACTCTAAATCCGAAACTAACATCAAATAGGTGCTATTCCACCTTGTTGGAATTAGCTTTCTAGAGGGCAACTGAAGCTGTTTTTTAATTTTGGCAAATTCAAGAAGCCTAGATTCAAAATTGTTCAAGTACTTTATCCCTTCTCTTACAACATCAATTACATCACCAAGTTGACCAAGACCATCTTGCACTAAGAGATTAAGTATATGTGCACAACATCTAATATGAAAAATTTTTCCTCCAATACTTAATCTCTTTGTTAGAGCAAAATCCTCTCTAAGTCTCCTAATACATACATCAATGTATGAAGCATTATCAACAGTTATTTTCCGCACAACATGGAAATTTTCCGCATTTAGCTACAATTTACGCACTATAGCTTCATTCTAGACTATCCCAATCCATCATCCATGGCCACACAATATAAAACATATAAAAATAGAAAAATCAAGAATAAATATAAAATTCATCAAAGCTTCACTTCCAACCATAAACACACCATAAATCATCTTATTTAGCCACCAATGCCACTAATTTACCACTATTAAGAACAAAGAGAGGATTTCTTCACAACTCACCTTCCAACTTAAGAAAGATAGCAACTTAGCACTTCCTCTTGCCAAATCACTCCACCAACTACTTCAATACCACTTAGCAAAGGGATTTTATTGAGAGTTTTGGAGTATAAAGGGTTAAATTGTGAGATTGGGCAAGATTAAGAAGAAGGAAGTTGGAGATTTTTTTTTCTCTTTCTTTGCTCAAGAAGTTCGGCCAAGGGGAGGAAAACATGAAGATGTTTTTAGTCAATTTTTTTTTGGTTAAATGGTAAAGTAAGAAAGTTGGTCAAACCATCCTCAAGTCACAAGGTGACACTTGTCACCCCTTTTTGTTTGAGCTTATCCTTTTGTCTTCCAAGGTTAATCCCTCTATGCATCCTCTAATTGGCTCATAATACCATGTAATATAATCTCTGTCTATATAACTTAACCTAATTGGCCGCATTTTATCAAACTTACCGCACTAGTGGGTCTCACAACCGGTATACGCTCTTAATTTCTCAAAAACTAATTAATACTAAAAAAATAATTTTAGAACTATATTTACTCATAAAAATTATCTAGAAAATTTTCCTAAGAAAGAAAATATAGAAAAGGCATGCAATTAAATAAAATAAAGTCTAGAAAATAAGAAAATCCACGGGTTCTCACACTCTCTCTCCCTTAAAAGAATTTCGTCCTCGAAATTCCTTATCATCGCCTTCTCCGGGATACAAAAATTTGAATACTTTCTTCTCACAGTCAAATTGAGCATCATACTTAGCTAACCAATCTGTACCCATTCACTGGCCAGGCTCATGGAATTCTTTGGTATAGTTTCTTCTTCTTTCCCAAATTGTAATTCTGATACACCATTCTAATGGGCAAACGGTGGAATACCAGAACCTTACCTTCCACGTCCTCTAATGGGTCAGAGACTTGATGTTGTTCTAAGGAGTACACCTGAGTTGACATTTTCGATCCATTCTTGTCCCCCTTCGACTTGTCAGGGTTGGTCGTGGTTGGCTGTTGGCTCCTACTCCCTTCTCGAGATTGGCTTGGGCAACTTGCGATTTGATGATCTGCGCTCCCACAATGTAGACACTTTCTTCCTTTCTTTTAGCAAACATCCTCCGTGTGATTCGGCTTCCCACAGTACCCGCAGGGACCACGGGAAGCCGAGACTGAGCCTCTCTGTGAGGCACCACTTGACATCCTCGGTAATTGTACTCCCCCGTTTTCCCTTCCAATCTTAGGAGGCGTACCCTTATCCCCTTGCTCTGAGCTACTTCCAGGAAATCCCCTTTTCTTAGCTTGAAAGTTTCTAACTTGAAATCTCGCGCTTTCAACTAGTTGAGCTTTCTCCACCGCATCACTAAAGGTATTGAGTTGGGCTACGGCCAGGTCCTTCTGAATCTCAACGTTTAATCCTTGGACAAAACGCCTTATCCTCCTTTGCTCAGTCACAATTAACTTGGGAGCGAACTTGGACAACCTGGTGAACTGGCTCTCATATTCGGCGACGGTTTGAGTTCCCTGGCGGAGCCTAATGAACTCATCTTCTTTCTTTTCCTGGATCAGAGGTGGAAAATACTTCGTGTTGAACTCTCTCATGAAATTCACCTACGTCCTTGGGGTTTGTTCTCTTTCCCATTTCAGTGTTATGATATTCCACCAAGAACGGGCTGCTCCCTCTAGTTGGAAGACAGCAAATGTGACCTGTCAAAGTTACTAAAACAATACCAGATTTTCCAGTTTGAAACTCACTGTGAAATTGAACTAGCAGTCCTGATTCATTCAATCATATCTCAGCATACACAACTTCGATTCAGGTAATTCCAAATCCATTTGAAAGCTAAGATACAAGGCTATAATTCTTAAGAAAACATAGACAACCAAATCAGTAGTATTCCTGGTGAAACTAACCAATTACAGAAGCTGATTATCAGTTTCGGACAGAAACAGGGCAGCAGGGGTATTTCGGTCTTTTCATATGCTACGTTGCTCCAATTGAGCTGAAATTTTGCAGAAAACTATAAAACATCATTCTATACAACTTTCATGTTTTATACTAAGGCCAATTTGGCCTCTAACTAGGGGTAATAGTACCGGGAAGAATAGGGAAAATTGAAACCCTAATCTGGAATTTTCCGCATAACATGAAAATTTTCCGCATTTAGCTACAATTTACGCACTATAGCTTCATTCTAGATTATTCCAATCCATCATCCATGGCCACACAATATAAAACATATAAAAATAGAAAAATCAAGAATAAATATAAAATTCATCAAAGATTCACTTCCAACCATAAACACACCATAAATCATCTTATTTAGCCACCAATGCTACTAATTTACCACTATTAAGAACAAAGAGAGGATTTCTTCACAACTCACCTTACAACTTAAGAAAGATAGCAACTTGGCACTTCCTCTTGCCAAATCACTTCCTCTTGCCAAATCACTCCACCAACTATTTCAATACCACTTAGCAAAGGGATTTTATGGAGAGTTTTGGAGTATAAACGGTTAAGTTGTGAGATTGGGCAAGATTAAGAAGAAGGAAGTTGGAGATTTTTCTCTTTCTTTGCTCAAGAAGTTCAGCCAAAGGGAGGAAAAAATGAAGATGTTTTTAGTCAATTTTTTTTTTTGGTTAAATGGTAAAGTAAGAAAGTTGGTCAAACCATCCTCAAGTCACAAGGTGACACTTGTCACCCCTTTTTGTTTGAGCTTATCCGTTTGTCTTCCAAGGTTAATCCCTCTATGCATCCTCTAATTGGCTCATAATACCATGTAATATAATCTCTGTCTATATAACATAACCTAATTGGCCGCATTTTATCAAACTTACCGCACTAGTGGGTCTCACAACCGGTATACGCTCTTAATTTCTCAAAAACTAATTAATACTAAAAAAATAATTTTAGAACTATATTTACTCATAAAAATTATTTAGAAAATTTTCCTAAGAAAGAAAATATAGAAAAGGCATGCAATTAAATAAAATAAAGTCTAGAAAATAAGAAAATCCACGGGTTCTCACACTCTCTCTCCCTTAAAAGAATTTCGTCCTCGAAATTCCTTATCATCGCCTTCTCCGGGATACAAAAATTTGAATACTTCCTTTTCACAGTCAAATTGAGCATCATACTTAGCTAACCAATCTGTACCCATTCACTGGCCAGGCTCATGGAATTCTTTGGTATAGTTTCTTCTTCTTTCCCAAATTGTAATTCTGATACACCATTCTAATGGGCAAACGGTGGAATACCAGAACCTTACCTTCCACGTCCTCTAATGGGTCAGAGACTTGATGTTGTTCTAAGGAGTACACCTGAGTTGACATTTTCGATCCATTCTTGTCCCCCTTCGACTTGTCAGGGTTGGTCGTGGTTGGCTGTTGGCTCCTACTCCCTTCTCGAGATTGGGTTGGGCAACTTGCGATTTGATGATCTGCGCTCCCACAATGTAGACACTTTATTCCTTTCTTTTAGCAAACATCCTCCGTGTGATTCGGCTTCCCACAGTACCCGCAGGGACCACGGGAAGCCGAGACTGAGCCTCTCTGTGAGGCACCACTTGACATCCTCGGTAATTGTACTCCCCCGTTTCCCCTTCCAATCTTAGGAGGCGTACCCTTATCCCCTTGCTCTGAGCTACTTCCAGGAAATCCCCTTTTCTTAGCTTGAAAGTTTCTAACTTGAAATCTCGCGCTTTCAACTCGTTGAGCTTTCTCCACCGCATCACTAAAGGTATTGAGTTGGGCTACGGCCAGATCCTTCTGAATCTCAACGTTTAATCCTTGGACAAAACGCCTTATCCTCCTTTGCTCAGTCACAATTAACTTGGGAGCGAACTTGGACAACCTGGTGAACTGGCTCTCATATTCGGCGACGGTTTGAGTTCCCTGGCGGAGCCTAATGAACTCATCTTCTTTCTTTTCCTGGATCAGAGGTGGAAAATACTTCGTGTTGAACTCTCTCATGAAATTCACCTACGTCCTTGGGGTTTGTTCTCTTTCCCATTTCAGTGTTATGATATTCCACCAAGAACGGGCTGCTCCCTCTAGTTGGAAGACAGCAAATGTGACCTGTCAAAGTTACTAAAACAATACCAGATTTTCCAGTTTGAAACTCACTGTGAAATTGAACTAGCAGTCCTGATTCATTCAATCATATCTCAGCATACACAACTTCGATTCAGGTAATTCCAAATCCATTTGAAAGCTAAGATACAAGGCTATAATTCTTAAGAAAACATAGACAACCAAATCAGTAGTATTCCTGGTGAAACTAACCAATTACAGAAGCTGATTATCAGTTTCGGACAGAAACAGGGCAGCAGGGGTATTTCGGTCTTTTCATATGCTACGTTGCTCCAATTGAGCTGAAATTTTGCAGAAAACTATAAAACATCATTCTATACAACTTTCATGTTTTATACTAAGGCCAATTTGG